GAAGCAGACCCCCACATCTAAAAGAAGCGTAACATCTAACCAAGATGGCAAGAAACAATGAGGAAAGGATTGTGTGATGATATTTAATAAATGGGGCTAGTTGTTTATATGGGAAAATAATGGTTCCCCTCACATCCCAAGCATAAATAAAATCCAAGATAATTAAGACCTAAATATTTTAGAATTAAAATGTAGAAAAACATCTTTATGACCTAAGATAGGGATGGATTTCTTAAACAAAACACTAAACTACAGAAAAATGAAAAGATTGATAAACTTGACTACATTAAAATTAAACACTTTTCTTCAACATGTCACAATAAAGTTGAAAGACAAGCCACAGACTAGAAGAAGAAATGTGCAACAAATTTTTTAAAAAAAGATTTACTGTCCAAAATATATAAAGAACAACTACAAATCAATGAAAAAAAAGATTAAAAATAGAAAAAAATAGGTTACGCACAGGCAATTAACAGAGGACAACACTTCAGTGAATTCACATATGAAAAAGTTCTCATCCTTCCTAATAATGAGGAAAATGCAAAATGAAACGATGAGATATCATTTCATACCAATTGGACAAGCAAAAATCGTAAAGTTTGACGATGCTAAATGTTGGCAAGGATGTTCGAGCAACAGGAATTCTTCCACTCTGCAGGAGTAGCATATATCCATAAACCTGTTTTCACCCCTACGTAGGGAAATTCTCCACATGTGCACAAGGAAATAATATACAAGACTGTTTCTTTTCAAATTATTTGTAATAGCAAGCAAATTGCAAACAACCTAAATGCCTTTCATTAGGAGTATGAATAAGTAAATCTCAGCATATTTATAAATGAACTACTATGTGGCTCTAAAAATGAATAAACCAGAATTCATGAATAAACCTCAAAATTACAAGTGAATAAAGCAAATTTTAAATAGATCATATACTATGAAACATTTATATGGAGTTTTAAAACAAGCAAATAGTGGCATATATGCCTATGCATATTCGATTATAAGGTAATGGCATAAAAACATGCATGGGTGTTCCAAACATCAAACTTATTATAGTGGTTGACTTTGAGGCATGATGGTCTCAAGTAGGGCTTCAATCGCACATATACATATTTATTTATTGTTAAAAAATCTATACCAATATAAAACACATGGAATGTGCCCCTGTAATTACATATTCCTTTGGCCCTGAGGATATCTAGGATTCCTTGACTGGAATGCGTTGCTTTACTCAAAGTCCACCAATTTAAAAGTTAATCTCATCCAAAACTCCCTTACAGAAACACTCAGGATAATGTTTGCCCAAATATCTGAGCACCCTATGGCCAACCAAACTGCCACAAAAAAAATTAACTATTACACTTTTTATCTGCACATTTCTGATAGTCAGGAATAGGTGACAGTCGAGAGTCATGGTTAAGAGTAGGAGTTTGGAAGCTGCAGACCTGAGTTTGAATTCTGGTTCTGCATCCTAATTGAGGAGTGATTTAATATCTCTATGCCTCATTTCCTTCTTCTTTAAAATGGGAATAATAATAGTTTGTTGTGAGGTTTAAATAAAATAATGCATGCAGCAGTCTCAGCACAGTGCACTCCATAATAGACCCTGGGGAACTCCGGAGAGAGCTCAGGCACTCCATAACAATAAGTGAGATATCGCCCGATACATCTTATCCTGTGCCTTGAATGGAACACATATGAAAGGACATGCTTTTGGATGTAAAAGATAAAGAAGGATCATCAATCACTCCAGTGGAAGACTAGCAATGCGGGAAGAAAGGTCGTGCCTGAGCTCTCTCTCCGGAGTTCCCCAGGGTCAGGGGCAGAGACTCAGGTTTTCACTTGGACACCTCCACAGCCACTGCAGCTGTTTGGGGAAGCCCCAATACAGTCATCATGACAGTCCAGATTGAACCCCATTCCTGTACAACTTAACCATGGGTGTTCCTCTAGCCTTGTTTATCCATTGTATCAGTTATCTATTGCCAAATAATGCCACATAATAAGTCACCCCAAAACTTAGTAGCTTAAAACAATAAGCTCTGACTATTGCTCACAAGTCTATAGATCAGCTAGATAGTTCTACTGATCTAGACCAGGCCCAGCTTTTGTCTGGGTTCATCCATGCATCCATTGGTTGGCTGGGGACTCATTTACTGGTTTAGGATGGCCTCTCTCACATAGAGGATAGGTATCTGTCACCTGGGATGACAGGCATGACAGGTTGCATGTTTTTCATCACCCAAAAGGCGAGACTGGGCTTGTCTGCATGGTACTTGAGCAGAGTTTCAAGAGAAAGAAGAGAGGCTGCAAGTCCTTTTGAGAACTAAGAGCATCATTTCTATCACTTGTTTTTAGCCATAACAAGTCACAAAGCCAGTCATATTCCAGGGAGAGGAGAGTGTGTTCCACTTCTTCATGAAGAGCAAGAAAATCACATTGTCAAGGGCATAGACCCAGAAGAACAGTGGACCGGAGCCATTGGGTAACACAGCACACCCATGACTCCTGTCACTTGCCTCCTATTTACCTTCCTCCCATGGACTTTTGTTAGAAGGAAGCCAATCAAACAGCCATATTTGTCCCTCATCCCCTATAGCTATTTGCACTTCTGACAGACTTATGTTTTATTTTAGAGGCAAGAGGGAGCTACTAGATATTCTTAAGAAAGCAAAGAGACCAAATGAAAATGGATTTGAAAAAAGACATTTAGGGAGCAAGTACATTTGCCTGAGACAATCAGAAAGGCAGGATTGAGGGGAAAGCATTCAAGGAAGTGGGAACAGAGCCTACAAAGTCCCAGAAATATAAAAGGATGGTGTTGAGAACAATTATAGGAAGCCTCTACTAATTAGTGTTGCCTAATTTAGTAATGAAATATTTCTTCTCATATGTTCCTCTGGAAAGCCCATGATATTCATCACCCCACTTAAAGGCCAAAATTAACGATATGAAGCATTCAGTGTTTTTCATTTGCTCAAGCCAGTTCACATGCATTTGTCCTCCAACCATTAGTGAGCAGTTTTAGAGCAAAGAGAGCTTATCAGTGTGTGGGAGGGTAGTGGGGTGATGAAGTAAATGAGCGTTGATCTCAGACATGGCTCAACCACCTTCTCACTGTGCACCTGCAAGCCAGCAAATCTAAGATTCAACTTCGACATCTGTGAAATGGAGCAATACCTACTTGTAGCCCTCCTATGAAGATTAAAGGGGGTTAGGCAAGAAAACCACTGAGCACAGTACCTGGTAATGAATAATGGCCCAGAAAGTGGCAGATGGCTGTTCGTACTTCTAGCTCCTTACTCTCTAGAACAGGGTCCACACAGGACACGGCCTCCATTGGTACCTCTGTGTTTTTCACAGATGTCAGTGAGCATGCTGACTAGCCCAGGCAAGGCCCTGATTGCACATTTCATGTCTCAAAAAGGAGTTCTTGACAGGGCTGATTATTAAATAATAAGGAAATTAGTGCTCAGTCAAATTAGACACAGCATTGACTTTTAAAAATTCATTTAAAAATTACTTGTTAGCATGAACCAAACAGCAAGCAAGCAAGCCACATTTAATCAGTTTTCATTAAAGTTCCATTTTTAAAAATATATGTGCATATATATAAAGCATATATATATATACTTTACATATGGTATGTCTTTTATATAAGTATATATTTAAATATACAGTATGTCGGTATATATAATGTAAGTATATATTACATATAAACACATATGTATATAATTATGAATATATAAATCTATATAAGAATAAATATATACTTAAATGTGACATTTAAAGTATATATATATATATATGAATCAATATAAAAGGAGATATATATACACACACACATGTGTGTGTGCTTCATGCTGTTTTTCATTTTAGTTTATCAATTTCTTCAGCATTTGGAGCTGTGAAAGCCATGCCCATGACAGAGTCTCTCATAGTTAAACCACAACTAAGCACCTTCTCAAGAATCTCAAATTTACAGAAAACTTAAAGACAAGTAGACAGTGGTTTGTTCAGCACTTTAAGTTTTTGCAGATCTTTCACCACAAGGGCTGACCTCTCACTGGAGGTTTGCTTGGACAAAATATACAGATTTTATTATTGTTCCAAAGGGAATTTGGAGCCCAGAGATATGTAGCCATGTAGCCTTTATGGAGACAGGATTTACGTTTGTTCATACAAAGAAAGAAAGTGTGTGTGTGTGTGTGTGTGTGTGTGTGTGTGTGTGTGTGTGTAGTTTTGTATGTATATATATGTTCTTTTTTAAGGGCTGATGCAATAGCATTGCTTGCCCCAAGAGGATGTCAAACAATACACTAGTCAATATTGCAGAAACCAGAACTTCCTAGGGCCCTTTAGCCAGTCAGCTCCTGTACCCACATTTCCTTATTGTAAACCAGAGTTTGAATAGTGAGTGGAAAAGTCTGCCCTCATCGCCCAGCCCTTCAGTAGGCCGTGGTCACATTGTTCCAGCAGACTTGGTAATATGAATGTTTAATCCCTATCCAAAAAAGATATGTAATCATTATCCTGTAACTGACAGGCAGCATTACATCCCAATAGATGGACTAGCCTTGAAATTAAAAACCAGCCCACAATTCTAGTGTTTCAAAAAAGTCGGAGCTGTTCCACTCAGCACAAACCTGTCTTACATTGCGCTTTTTTTTTTTTCACCAGAAACCTGTAAGTGCAATTTCTGCAGAAAGATACTTCAAATTTTAAAGTAAAGATCACGTTTCAAGGTTGAAATGTTCTAAGAAGCCTCTTTTGGTAGAAACAAGCCAAGGTCAAGAAGGCATCTGGGAACGGGGATGGGGAAGAAAGGGGACACTAGGATACACAGATGGAAATGGGGCAGGGGGTGGGGGAACGTGCTGACTCCAGGCTAAATGAGCTGTTGAAAAGAACCAAATTGCTTCCAATTGATAGAATTTAAGGAAACTCCTCCAAAGATTTTGAAGCTGTATGTAACTTGTCTTTATTTTTCTCCACAGCCATGGGACCCGATGTGCAGGGGAAGTTTCTGCTGCAGCCAACAACAATATCTGTGGAGTCGGAGTAGCATACAATTCCAAGGTCGCAGGTAAGCTGTCCCTGCCAAAGAGCAGACCCCATTCCCAACAGTCAGTCCCAAACGCATTGCGGCCTGGGCTCCAGGCTGGCCAGGGCCTGGCGAAAACTACCTTGCAGCAAGGGGTCTGGGACTTAGCGAGAGTGAAAAAAATTTTAACTTTAATCTACATGGCAATATTAATAAACTTTTAAATATTTTATTTACATGTAATATAATTACATAAAAGTACACAGATCACAAACTTACAACTCGTCGAATTTTCACAGGCTGGCCATACCACATGTGGTCATCTAGAAACAAAACATTACCAGCATCCCAAAAGTCCTCCTTGCGTTCCCTACCAGTTACTACCCATATACACAAGAATCACCACAATCCTGATTTCTAACAGCAAATATTGGTTATTGCCAGTTTTTAAACTTTATATAAATGGAATGTAAATCGTTATAAACATACTAAGAATCTTCAAAATGGTTTTTGGTTTTTTGTTTTTGTGTTTTGCATCTCATCTTTAAGGAAATACATTCTACCTGGAACCTTTTTATTAAGCTCTACGAGAAAGATATTTAGCAATTCCATCTTCACAGGGGACTTTAGAAATGAGGGTATTAGGTCACTAAAAATTTAGAAAGCAACACCTGTCCTTACCCCCCTAAAAAAAAAAAGAGAGAAAGAAAGAGGATGAAAGAGAGGGGTTCGTAATCTTTCAACAAAATGCCAGAGAATGAAATGGCTCCTGGCTCATTCCAAGTTTTGCATCAAATTTGTTCTTAATTTATTTTGGCTGAGTCACCCAACCTTGTTATTCCTTTTTTACAACTGTCTTGATATTTTTTCCCTGGCAATTTAATGGAACCATAAACATACTTTGTGCTGACGCTTAAATTTCCAGGGGCCTAAATAAAGCAAGAGCAACCTGTACAAACCTACCATTAACCTCTTTCAGAACTGTTTGCTAAGAGGCTTGCCTGAGCTGGGTGCTGAATTTCACAAAAGAATACATCTGGAAGGTTCTGAAACGTAAATAGAGGAGGCTTTGCCCCTTGGGTTTCTGCTCTCTTTGTGTGCATCCAAAATGTTGGCATTAAAATGTCAGAAGCCATTATGAGCTCAGGGGAAAGAATATCACCCGATTAATATTTTATAAGCTAGGATTGTACCAGGGTGGTAGCTGAGGTGACGTGGGCTCTCTATTCACAAGACAGGACTGGAGGCAACTGAAAAATTCAAATCTGGATTTCTCATTCACAATGATTGTCTTCAAAATAGTTTTTGAAGCCTCTGTATACCCCAAGCAACTGGTTTTTTTTTTTTTGAAAAAGGGATTCTTGGATTTACTGCCTGTAAAAATTAAGAGTTAGAGCAGCTCAAAGTATTCTAGAGGTTTATTGGGGTCCCTTTCCCCACCTGCTTCCTCTATCACTTTCTCTATTATCTGTCTGAAAACATCTGAGCTGCTCATCAAATGTACCTAATTCTCCTGCTCTCTTTATTTGAATTTCCTAAAAGCAAAATGAGATTGAGAATTTGGGTATGTAAGAGAGGAAGAAATTTTCCTCTACCGTTCTAGTTTCTTCTGGCTGGTCTAAGAATTAAATTGACATAAGAGAGATTAACAGGAGAAAATAACCAAATTTAATTACATACATATATACAGGGGATCCATAAGAATATGGGGCCCAAGGAAAAATCATGCAGTTGAAGTTTATATGCCATCTTGAGCTAAGGAGAAGGGGGGGGTGGTTTGGAACTTTGAAGGAGAGAAAGGCAATTCACAGAGAGATGGAAAAACAAATTTTGGTAAACAAATGTTTTCTGGGCCATACAGAGACAATGGGACACTGATTTCTTAGAAATCAGCAGACTCTGATTTCTAAGTCTTCTCCACCATATAGAGTTCATATTACATTATAGTTATTTATGGTGAGAGCTCCTTTCTAGGGAGCCCTCTATCTAAATTCTTTTAGGCAGTAAGAGGAAGGTCAAAGGTTCTTCTTGACTCTTTTGCTTTTCAAAAATAAAATAATCTTTGTGCTGGAGAGAAATATTTTGGGGTGGCAAATTTTGCTTCCCTCTAGGTACAAGGAGTTTATTTGGGAGGTGATCGATCCCAGGAAGCCAGAGTGAGGGAAAAATGGCAAAAAGGAGCCAACAAAGTGAGTGTAGATAAGCCAGTCGCTCCCATGGACAGCTGGGGCTCTGAGAGACAATGGGGACCCCCCTCAGAATTGCATCCCCAAGGTGAGGAGGCTGAGGCGTTTATCCACCAACTGCCATCCCCTATTGGTGAGGAAGTCTCCTGGACCACGAACACCCTGGCCTGTCTAGCCTGTTAGCTCACGTGGGCTGAGCAGAACTCTTAAGGCAGAGAACAGCCCCCAGGCAGACAATCAAATGGGGCCGGTGGATCCAGGCACAGCACGACAGCCTCTGCCTCACCTGCTGACTAACCCCCCTTCCCAAAGGTGAGTTAATGAAGCCTGACACCTCAAAGACATGACCTGCGTTTTCTGAAACCCTCACAGAAACGCTTTGAGATTCTAGAAACCAAGCCCAGAACTGGTGGAAGCCATGCCCAGCCACACAAAGATTCTCATCAGAGCAGCCACCTTTCTCCCCTTTTCTGCTTCCTTAACTCCAGCTTTGCTTCTCTGTAACCACTAATGCTGGTTCTAACTACTCAAGGGCCAGGAAGCTCTAGTCCCCTGTCCTGTGCCCTGTAGGACAGCCAGGGTTCTCTAGGCTTCCCCAGAGGAGCAAAAAAGGAATTCGTCAGGAAGACACACTGGACTGTAACTTGAGAATCCCAACAAAAGCAGAATTTCAGGTTCCTCAACCTTACATATTTAGGAGAAATTTTTGTTCATTCTGGTGGACAATTCTAAAAGTTGGCTGTTTTTTATTATTCTAAATGAGCATAACCTTCCAGAGAATTCTTCCCTTTCAGGAGCTTTGGGACCCCAGGACCGTGTAGATCGCCACCTGGTGGCCAACTGAGATCATTGCTAGTCTCTGGCAGTCCCAAGGTGTTCAGTTACAGGTTGGGGAGATATTGGCAGCAATGTCCCAAGTCCTTCCCTGGTCCTGAGTGTCTCTCCACCCTGCCTTCAAAAAAAGGCTAAAATTAAGGTGCTGTAGAATCTTAGGCAAGAAAAATAAAAGAGAGTGAGGATGAGATTATAAAATGAGTCTTCTGAAGGTAAAAAAGGAAAAAAATTATTGAGAATCTCTTTATTTGCCTGTTAGCCACTTAGGTTCTCTTATATTACAAACTCTGCTCATGTCCCCATTGGGGTTCCTGTATTTTTCTTGTTTGTTTGCAAGCATTTATGATATATTCTAGATATTAGCCCCTGATCAGTTTTAGTAGATGCAAATATTTTCTCCCAAGCTTCCACATAAGGTCATTAGCCTATCCAAATTCCAGCTTTGTGTGTCATGCTAGCTTAGTGTCCAGTTTTATTTTTCTTCAAACAATGAGTCAATGTTCCCAGTACCATCTATTTAATAATCCAGCCTGTTCCTTTGATTTGTGGTGCCACCTTCATTGTACATACATGGTTAGTCTCTGGATAAGTATAATTTAGATGACTCCTCCTAGCAAGTATAAACTAGAAAGTGTAGCCAACTCCTTCTACAACTGAGCCTTTGTACATGATCTTCCCTCTGCCCAGATTTCCTCCTCCCTATGCTGTACCTGGCCTCCTCCTCTTCATCCTTCAGCTCTCAGGTTCCCATTGCTTTCTCCAACACCACTTTCCAGACCAGTTTCCTTATCTATATTTGATAAAGCATGCAGGATTTTTCCTTCCCAGCACTAACCACTGTTGGTTATTGCACATTCTTATGCATAATTATTTCATTAATATCTTCCTCCTCAGAGAGACAACAGTCTCCATGAGGACAGGAGCCATGTCTGTTTTCTCTCACTTCAGTAGCTAGCATGGAGTCTGGACACAGTGGATGCTCAAACTGTATTTGCCGAATGACAGAAAGCAAGGAAGGAATAAAGAGAAGAAGGGCCAATGAAGAAACCCATTATAAGCAGAAGAGATTAATCATTAAATGAAAGAAGGCATGGATGATTGGAGTAGAGGGATTAAGGGCAGGAGGCTCTAAGGACCCAAAGCTAATGAAATTTCTACCCGGAAAGCTAAAGTATCTCCTCTTCCATGAGCACCTTCTCACCCTTTTTTCTTTATTTCAGTCAAATCAGTTCCAGGGAGACCTGGGCCTTACAGTTGGGTGCCTACTATGTGCCCAGCTCTACCGTAAATGGTGGGATACAACAATGAGCCTGCAGACAAGAAACCTGCCCTCACACAGCTGACAGTCTAAGAGGAGACTCTGAGAATGAACAAATAAGCATGATAATATCAGATAATGATTGCTGGTAGGAATGAAACAAAGCATGGTGGCAGAGAATAACTGGGGTGAGGCACGGCTAGTGACTTGAGGGTGTGAGCTCTACAGCACCACACCTGAGCTTCTGCAGAGCTTCTCAGAGCAGCCTCAGGGTGCAAACTAGGACTGATTGACTTTATTTGCCTTCCCTTTTAAGCCAGAGAATATAGATTTATGCACTGGACTTCAGGATGAGATTTCCTTTAATCAAAGATTCTGAAGAGTTTGAGAACCACACTAATGAGCACTGTCTAAATACCCTGGAATTTGTCTACCAGCAATGAACTGTTTCCACATATTTGGCCAATAAAACTCATAACATTTCCAAGGGTTTATACATATTTTATCTGAATTTTTAAATAACCAATAAAAATCACCCGTTAGCACAATGATTAACACATTTCAGATCCTTAAAACCTAGATCAGTGTGAATTTGCTCCTTAGCTTGCAGACTAATATTCATAAGCACAAAAGGTGGCAATTAGAGACACTGAGGTTTGTGGGAGGCTGTAGCATTTCTTAGTGTCAGGTACAAGGTCATCTTTTGTAACAGGATTAGACACAGAAAGGATTTAGCTCAAATTCCCTGGTCTATGAACCCCTAGAACCCAGAGCTCCAACAGTACAAGCAGTGCAGGCAGGCATGAGGCTCAAACCCTAAAAGAAGGGAGGAAGGAGATGCAGAGTCACCACTGGTCATTAAGGCGGTGATCAGGCCTGGAGTCCTCACCATCGAATCACATTAGCCAGTAGAGCTTTTTATGAATGTGAAGACACTGGGTCTAGCTCCCAGGTCTCACCTCTCCTGCCTCTCACTCTCATGCTCTTGCCTTTTCTCTAGTTTCTCTCTCTCTCTCTCTCTCTCTCTCTCTCTCCACCCAGAGAAAGAGGTGAGGCCCTCCCTAAAATCCCTTGCGTCACCCTGAGCTTCTGTCTTGGCTGCTAATAGTTCAGTCTCTTGCAAAAATTAATGCTGTGTCTCATTCAATTAATGCATGCCTCATTCCTCTCAAGCTTAACGAGATTAGAAGAATGTCGGATGCCTGGCCCCTGAATATGAATGAGAGCCTTGCTTCAGTCTGTGGCTGCCCTTGCCTCCCTTGATGCTGAAACAGTCAGAAGATTAATGCACACCAGCTCTGATCTTCTGTGCAGCAGAAGGGGAGCCCGGGAGGGGATGAAGAGGGAAAGATACAGAAGAACAAGAGCTGCAAAGAGAAAGGGTACAGGGCATGGCTGGATGCACCACGCGCTGGCTGTATGACAAAATCCAGTGTTGTCATTGGCTGGCATGTGGCACCATCCAGGACTACTTTAGCCAAGGTTGAATTTCTCTCACCTTCCAGTTGAGGTGGCTGTTCAGTCCTGGTCATCTGAGCACTAGACAAGTTCAAGACCATCTGAGTTTTCTCCTTGCAGGAAAGTGAATACCATCCTCTCTGTAATGTTTCTCCATCCACAAAGAGGAAAGAAGAAACTGCATTATTTGGTTTATTCTGTCACCTGTTGGCCACCTTTGTTGAATGACCTTTTTAAATAATTAAAAATATGGATGGACCAAAAACAAACGGGAGAGTTTGAAATTTCCTATCCTTTATAAAATGAGCCATAAAATTTAGCTTTCAGAAAGTTCAAACAATAGACTATACTCATTCTAGATGAGCTTCCTCCAGGACAAAAGACGTTAACTCATAATTGGATACTTTTTGGCAAAAATGGTGACTTGATTTATAAGGTAATGGTGGAGGATGGAAAATCTGGACCTGTAATTATTTGTTCTTCTGAACTTGTTTCTGTTAGGGAGAAAAATCAACTAAATAAAGTAATAATATTAAGCATTTATTCATCAAAGATTTATCAAGCTTAAGATAAATTCCAAGCACCATGCTGTTGCCCTGGGACACAGAGTGAACAAAGCAGATGTGTGTCCTGTACTCAAAGACTGTTATCTGGTGGTGAATGAAACACACAAATAAACAATTGTAATGGAAAGCCGAAAGTGTGGTGCTAATGGATGAAGGACCTGGAGAGCTAGACCCAGAAAGCCTTCTGGGGAAATGCCTGCTAGACACATAGGTTAGTCAGGAGGAGGGTGTGCCCTGGGGGAAGTTGCAGTGCAAGGGGTGGGCTATGAGAGTTGAGGAGGAAAGAGAGACCTTTCGTTAAGAGAGAAGGCAATTTCATGTGCCCTGAAAGAATCTGAGTGGTTGCAAGAAACTAATTTGCATACTTTGTTAGAGAGTGACACTTTTGTAATAATGTCCTTGACCATGATGAGTAAGGAGAGTCAGCATCCAAGCTTTGACTATGTATGGCCCAGGTCTTGCATTTCAAAATCTCATGGACAGAAAGACTTAGTCAAATATACCAAAATTTTAGGCTCCTTGCCACAAAATAGTGTATCAGGAAAAGAACAATATGGCTCCAAACAGCAATGTTTTGAGCTTAGTGATAGAGGGACAGAATGCCCATCCCATTGATTGCTACTGAGTTAACCTTGGAGAGGCTTTTTACAGACAGACAGAGAGGGTAATGTGAACCATGTGTGCCCACAAGCATGTTCCTTCTCCCTGTGTGCCACTGCCCAGCTCAAGTTCACCCCTCATACAATCCTGGACTGCAGGACTCTGCTCCTTGTCAACTTCCCAGCAAGAAGTCACTCCCACAAAGCATCAGAGAGTAGCACAAACTTTACAAAGATGTCATAGAAGAGAAAGAGGAGGTGGTTACGTCACACACCCCACCCCATTACTAGTATATTTCAGAATAACCCATGCAACATTTCTGTCCTCCCCTAAGTTCCTTCTCAGATATAATGCAACTGGGAGCTTCTCTTTTCCTGACCTGCCCGTATCTGCGCTGTCTCTAACCCCATCCACCCGCTTCCCTCTGCCTTCTGCCCTCTGGGATTTCTCCTTAAATATTTAATATCTATTGCCTCCCCCTACTGTAATGCACAGTAGCTTTATTTCTTCTCTGAAACTTGACCCCAGTCATCACCCAGTCCTTGGAGCCTGACCTTCCACTTGGAAACAGGCTTATCGGTTATGTCTTCAAAAAAGATGGTCTCTCCCCCATTGGGAATTCTGGTAAAGTTTGCTGGGGGAATAAAATTGTCTACAAATAGTTACATAAGGAAAAGCGAAGGTAGAGGTTCAGAAAGGATTGGGTGGGCATTCTGTGCCTCCTTCTTGATCTTCTGAGGCTGTAGTTGTACTCAGGATTGCACAGTGTCCCCCAGGACACCTGGGATGGAGAACCCTCCAGCCACACCCAGGACTGAGCCCTCCTCCCCGCCTGTCTCCTGTGAATTGGGAACCAAAACGCTGTGTTTCCCTGCCCGCGTGTGTCCACAGGTATCCGGATGCTGGACCAGCCATTTATGACGGACATCATAGAGGCCTCCTCCATCAGCCACATGCCCCAGCTGATCGACATCTACAGCGCCAGCTGGGGCCCCACAGACAATGGGAAGACGGTGGATGGGCCCCGAGAGCTCACGCTCCAGGCGATGGCCGATGGTGTGAACAAGGTAAAGTCGTTCCTGCTGCCATGAGGCCCTGGTCCAACACCTGGGGAATAGGAAGAAGTGGGGGACACAGCGGGTAAGAGGAGGTGATGACAAAGGAGGAAGGGGCAGGGCAGGGGCAAAGGTGGGGTTGTTACCCTATGCATTAACTCAGGACCGGCGAGAAATGGATCCCAAAATGGAGTTAGACAGCTGACCTGTGAAGGACAAAGTGGAGGTAGCCGGAGGAGGCAGGGAGTGCCTTCAGACACAGAAGGTGACGTGGGCCTGGCCCCCGCAAAGGATTGGGGAGAAGGAGGATCCCACTCTGCCCTGGTCCCTGCAGGAAGGGCCTGAACAGCACCCTCACCCTGCCAGTCCTGGCCAGGAGCAGCCTGCAGGCAGTGGGGGATCTGCGCAAACTGGGTGGTTCAGGGGGCAGCAGCAGGAGTTGTGAACCCACAGTGCTCTCAGGCAGAAGGTCTGAGACACTTGTACCTATGGCCGCAGTTCCCTGACATTAGTGCAGCAACCGACAGAGCCAAGGAGATCCGACCAAGGCAGAGCCTTCAGAGGGAGGGCAGCGGGAAAACACTGGTCACTATGCTCGTCAGCAGCTACACAGAGAAAGGAGATTCCGTCTCTGCGATCTCAGGGTAGGGGCCACCCCAGACAAGGCATGAAGCAGGCTCCAGGATCAGTCTCCCTGGGTTATGGTCCCAGTTGACCACTCAGGTCTGAGTCTATCCACAAGAGACGACCTCACTGTGCTTCAGTTTTCCTGCCTATAAGATGGTGATAACCATACATTCCACCTGGGATCGTTGTGTGAGATAAATATGCAAGTGCTTGGCACTGGCAAGTGCCCCACAAAGGATTGGTTCTTGTCCCTGTCATTATAGATGCTTAATGCCACTGTCCCAAAACTTTGTGACATAAAGCACAAGGTTTTATTAGGCTTGTGGATTCTGTGGGTCAGGAATTCAGACCCACCCAGTGAGAATGCTTATCTCTGCTCCACCATTCCTGGGCCTCAGCTGGAAGACTCGTGATTTGAATTACCAAAATATTGTATTTTCACATGTTCTTGCGATGTGCTGATTTCAGAATTACCCCCTATTGGTGCCACAACACCCACCGCTGGGATAAGTCATTTCGCCTCACTTAGTCTTTTTTCAGGACTGAACTTGCCATCGGGCTGACATCACTGCCCTCTCCCTGCTTGTCTGCTCAGCCATCACGTGGGAATCACATCCCAAAGACTGCAACAATGGTGTGTAGAGTAAGAGTAATCAGGTCCTAAGTGAGGGAAAGACAAGTGTATGAGGTTTGGAATATGGACTTTTGGAAATCCATTTTAGGAATATTTTTAAATTTTGCTTCTTGAATTTTGACAAATTTCAAATAGATGAAATGGCTATAACTATAGTTAGATATATAGACTAGCATTATTATAAATAAATTATAAAATGCATCTGTCCTATGTATATATGTTTAAATTATGTATAGTTTGTATGTAGAAAATACATAAGCTCATTACTTATACAGTTATAACACTACAAGAGATATATGTACAAAACACTGTATTTCACAGTAGCCTAGAAAGGTAAAAATATTGAAGAAAATTAGAGTGAACTACTGAAGGTTACTTTTTCTTTTCTTTTTCTTTCTTTCTTTCTTTTTTTTTTTTTGAAGAATTACAATACGCCAAGCATTATTGTATTTTTTTTAAACTATAGTCACTATGCTTTACATTAAATACCCAGAACTTATTTATCATATAACTGGAAGCTTGTGCCCTTTGACCAACATCTTCCCAACACCCACCCCTACCTCCTGCAACACCGGCAACCACCATTCTACTCTCTTGTTTCTATGAATTTGGTTTTTTTAGATTCCCCACGTGTAAGTAAGATCATACAGTATTTGACTTTCTGTCTGACTTATTTTCTTTAGCAAAATGCCCTCAAATTCCATCCATGCTGTCACAAATGTCAGACTTTCTTCTTTTTATGGCTAAATAATATCTCATTATATGTGTGTGTGTGTGTGTGTGTGTGTGTGTGTGTGTGTGTGTATCACATTTTCTTTATCCATTCTTTTGTTGATGAACACTTAGGTTGTGAGTAAAGCTGCAATGAACATGAGGTGCAGTTATCTCTTTAAGATACCGATTTCACAACCTATGAATATATACTCAGAAGTGGGCTTGCTGGATTATATGTTAGCTCTATTTTTAATTTTTTGGAGCACCTCCATACTGATTTCCATAATGGCTGTACCAGTTTATATTCCCACCAACAATGCACAAGGATTCCCTTTCTTCCGCATGCTCAATAACACTTGTTATTTCTTGTCTTTTTGATAATAGTGAAGGCTACTTTTTCTATACATTTCCTGAGATCAGGAAACATGTGTTTTCTTCTCCAGCTATCCTCAGAAATAACTTAGCACTTGAAAACATGGTAGATCAGCTGTTCAGTAAATAGGTAGAATTAACACATAAATGAAATTTGATGTGAAAGATTAAAAGTCATATAGAAATCTATAACTGTAATGGAAGCCTTTGGTGGCCCCTCGCACACCCCACTCCACTGCTCTGTTTGCTGCTGCTGATGGCACAGCTGCCTCTTCCCTGTAGAACTGCCCTGGCTAATGGGAATCTTCTCATCCAGAAGGTTCTGCCCCCACCCACACACAGGGGGCAGTCCACAGCCAGTGAGGAACTGATTCCAGGTGGAAAGGGCCAGCCTGTTTGTCTCCAGCAGAGACCACTCTGCTCTGTGATTTATGCTCCAGAGTCCTTAGTGAATCAGGTCAATACTTTACTCACAACTACATCATTTGAGGGCTCCTTCCCCTGCATCTCCTGTTTTATTCCCTCACTCACAGGTTTCTCTTGAGAGCTCTCAGACCCTGCTTCTAGGGAACCCACCCTAATGTTAACCCATTAGAGTTTGCTCTTTTCCTTGGCTGCCACGAAGCTCAGAACTAAGTTTGTGCCGAACAACATAGGTATTTTTCAGCTAGGTTTACTGCTACCCCTTTCTTCTCTTCTCTTTACCATCCATGGCCTCCACAAACATTCCTTCGCATTTGTTCCTGCATCTTTATTTGTAATCACATTGAATCTAAGCCTCTGAATACTAAGCAATGTAAAATTTGTAAAGGAATTTATGAAATGAGCTCAGTTTAATTAGATCAAATTTAGGCATGAAAAATCTAACTTGGATCCTTTGATTGTTGCTCGCTTACACACATTCCTAGTCTTAATGGACTAAAGTGTCTCGCTGAACAAAAATTGACAGCATCTAGGCCCTAACAAATAGTAAACAGTAAGTCAAACAACGTGCAACCCCTCAGAGCAAGGTTCAGCCAACCTTGGCCCACAGGCCAAGTCTAGCCCACCAGCTAAGTGTCTTTGCAAATAAACTTTTATTGGAACACAGCCGGGCCCATCAAGCCCCTTACATCTTTCCAGCCACGATTTCTCTTCCAAACACACCTTTCATAGGCTCCACATGGGAGGAAGCACATGGGGCACTAAATGAATGGAATCATCACTCAGAATGAACAGCTTTTCTGCTGGCCTGTCCATAACTACATCTTCAGATAAGTGGAGAACTGAGCTTGAGAGTTGGGAGACCTGAGTTCAAATCTCAATACTGTCCCTCTCTGGCTGTGGGACTTTAGATTAGTCACTTCTCCATTCCTCAGTTTCTTTTTCTATGAAATAGTCCATAACAGTGCTTCTCTAAATGTGGCCGCTGGTCTACAGGGGAGTTTGTGAGAAATGCAAAATCTCAGCCTCACCCCACTCATCCATCTGTTATATCAGAATCTGCATCTTAACAATATCCCATTAAAGTTTGAGAGGTGCCACTCTAAGTGATCTCTGAGATATCCATCATGTAAACCTAAGATACTAAGACCATAAAATGTGTTGTTTTAAAAAGCCCACAATGTGTAGAAAAGAGCAGTGGAGGTGACTCATTTTCTGGAAGTAGCAGCTTCACATGTCCTCATCTGGGTGGTGCATTGGATGAATTGATGACTGAGCCATATGCGCTAATTTGTCTCTGAGTTGCAGGAACAGAGGCCCAGGTAGCTCAACTTAAAGGGGTTTCTTGCTGTAGGATACATGAGTAATGAGAGCAATGAAATGGATCCAGGCGGGACCTCATACAGACTGGGACCAGAGAGATGTTCTGGACCCAAGGGGGCTGCAGGATGCTGGCCACAAGAGTGTGTGGAGCTCCCTAGTAGGGCCCTGCAGTCACAGGGCTTGCCTGTTTCTCACTGGCTTTGTGTGTTCACCTCTTCAGTTCATTTTTCCTCTTCCTTGAGGATTATGTTCATGTGGTACTTCTGCTTGGACAGAGCCCTATCAGCATCCTCATTGTCACAACCTGTCAGCCTCTACCCCAACTGCCATCTGCTCCCACTGCAATCTTCAGTGAGAATTTCAGCCCAAAATTAGGAGAGACCGCCCTTCCACTAATAGATTCCAAAAAAAGAAAAAAAGAAAGAAAGAAAAGAGAAAGAAATGTGGTTCTGTTGGAAAGGCTTAGATTTAGAAAGGTCAGAGGATAGTCAGAAGATTGCTAACAGAGCCCCTTCCTTTTCTATCCCAATAAAATCAAGTGACAGTCATCTATACTCATGCTGGCTTTTCAGCCCTCTGATGAAGTTTCTTCTGGGATGTTGAATTCTTTCAAAGTTCTAAACAGAAATATAAGACCATATGCTCCCCTCTGTTATGGGTTTAATTGTATACCCCAAAATTCGTATGTTGAAGTCCTAACCCCCAGAACCTCAGAATGTGGTCTTATTTGGTATTGGGTCATTATAGATGCAATTAGTTAAGTTGGGGTCACCACAATGGAGCAGAGTGAGCCCCTAATCCAGTACAAGTGTTTGTATAAAAAGGTGTAATTTGAACCTAGACACACACAAAAAGAATGCTGTGAGAAGATGAAGGCAGAAATTGGGATGATGCTTCCACAAGCCAAAGAATGCCAAAG